ATTAAAGTGATTTCCCGGAGTGTATGCCAAGCTTCGTTTGGAATGCGCATTAACCACTTTCTGTATCGGTAGTTAAAGGCATGAGGGATTTAAACAGCAATCCACAAGTCTGTTCAGTCAAGGTTTGGCGGAATAAAGCAGATTATAAACAATAATATATGTCTTTCTCTTCTTTTTTTGGAAGGGTTCCAAACTCACAAACGGAGCTAAAGTGCTATAAACATATCCAGGACTAAGCTTTGGGCTTCACAAATGTACTCCATGAAAGCCGTGGGCATTGGTGGTGGCACTTTTTATCCTGCGTGTGTGCGTGCGCACGTACTTTAAAAGAGCTTTTTATTACACAAAGTGTCCATCAACCGAACCTACCTTCTAAATATTAAAATGGAAACCGGTATTGCCGTACAAGGGAGGGGAAAATAAATCCTGGCTGTGGTGGATGATGAATTTGTTGCTGCTGCCGGGGGCGGCCCACTGTAAGTCACCTCTCTAGTCCTTAATGCCCTCATGGTCCCATATGTTCAGCCACTGCATCCAGGTGTTTCGGGTTCCAATGGGTCTTTTCTTCCCCACTGATACAAGAAACTCACCCCAAGCGTCTAGAGTTCCACCAAGAGACAAAAGTGTGTTTGGTGGGCAGCTCCTCCTGCTTCCCATCCGGATTTTAACCTCAGTGTTGTATTGCTAACTCCTGTTCATTCCTTCTAAGACATGTAGGAAGAAAAGCAGAAAGGAAGATTTTGTTCTGAGTACAAACTAGCACGTAACTTGTGAACGCCTTGACCTGGTTTTTAGGGCCAAGCTGCTCTGTGTTGCTGAAGGAAGGAACAGTGCTCTCAGAAGTGACTCCAATACATGCACTCCAAAAGAAGAGAACAAAAAATATAAAGTAATGATGTGTATTCTGTAATTGTGCCAAGAAAAAGTGGTAAAACACAGGAAAGAAAATTTTGAAGAATTCATGTATAAAAGTAAAAATACAGGTTGAGTATCCCTAATCCAAAAATCTGAAATCTGAAATGCTCCAAAATCCAAAACTTTCTGAGTGCCAACATGACACTCAAAAGAAATGCTCATTGGAGCATTTTGGATTTTGGATTTTTGGATTAGGAATGCTCAACTGGTTCAATATATAATGCAAATATTCCAAAATCTGAAAAAATCAGAAACCGGAAACACTTCTGGTCCCAAGCATTTTGGATAAGGGATACTCAACCTGTACTAAGTAAGAAATAAGCTATGAACTCTTAATAACTACTGTGATCCATACAAAGGTCACGCCTATTTTTAGGGAGGAGCATGACAAGAATATTTCATGAATAAATGAATAAATATGAGATTAAATAGCTTTGCCTATTCAATCCTATAGTGTAATGCCAATTAATGCATATTTGAAAAACTGATCATACTTCATGCATTAATAAACATTTACTGATAAATATAACAAGGAAGCATATTTTTTTCTTCAGTCTGATAATCACTATACTTTGACCCAAAATCTCTCTGGTGAAGGAATTGTGAATACTTACTGAAATAATTAAAGATTCTCAAGGTAAGGCTCTAACAATGATCATAATTTTTCAAATCATGTGATTACAAAAGACTGTATTAAGGTCTACATTATAAAAAGAAAGCCCAATGTATATATACAAAAGAGGCATTATCGGGCCACTAAGGGGCCCGATAATTGCACCGCTGAGTGTGGTTGCTTTTGCTTATTCTGATAAATGTAGTTAAGGGAGAACTTTTGGACTTGGCATCAAAAGGCTGGGATAATCACCCAGATTCTGAATACATAAGATCATGTATGCTGAAGTGCTTTATTTTAACATATAATAAAGCCTATATAAAAAAGTGGGCATTTACTGCTTCTGTTTGTATGACCTTGGATAATTTCCCCAGCAGTTCTGAGCTTCAATTCTCTCATTTGCAAAATAAAGAAAATGTCAATAATTTCTACTTTTACAATTATTCTGAGTCTCAATTAAGATGCTTGTGTATAAAGCCCTGTACAAATGTAAGGTGTAATTGCTGTTATTGCATTGAAGCTAAGATATCATTGATTGTAAGACACATTAGTTTATGTATCACTAAGAAAAAATTGCTGCCAATTTAACTATGACATGCCATTGCTTGTAAAAGATATCCAATTTTGGATATGTTAAAATGTGAAAAAATGTACATCTTAGAATTGATCAAATATAGTGTTATAACTACTATGAAAGCATTTGACTCAAATGACATTAGGAATAGGATTTGAAATTCACTCATAAATATTTAAACTCAATTATTTTCATTACTAAATTGTAGCTGGTGGGTTATACACCTGTTCTATGATAAACAGTTATTTATAAAGAGGAAATGTTAGGTCTTAGTAAAAGCTTTAGTTTGATAAAAGCTTTCATGTTTCAACTTAAAAAAAAAAAAAAACATTTTAAAGTCTTTAAGTTCAACTGAAGCATGTATTTGCCTGGACACTAAGCACTTCTGCAACCCAAGCTCAGCTCTGCCACTGTCAAACAAGTTGTTCATTAATCTCAGAGATGCCGCACTGTACATGGAATAATAACCCACAGCCAAGTAGTTAAACCTGGCAGGAAGCTAAGAAATATCTATTTAATATTAATAGAAAGGTTCACTGGATTATAGCAACCTTTTAGCTGGAAAATGCTGAAACATTAAAAAAAGATATACTAGATATAATTCCAGATACTATACCTTGGTTGTTACCTTTCTACCTGCATAAGAGAGAACAATATGTGGCCAGCTGGTTGACTTCGTATATCTTTATTACAGACTTAATTATAATAGGTTTAAAAGATTTAGTTAGTTTCTGATTGGTAATTCATGACTTTCTAAGAGACTTTTTGAAAGACACTGGCCTAGAGCAGTGCCTTAAAGCACAGGGAGATGATCCATAGATTATTATATGATAGTAAGGTTTTTGAAAATTCAGATACTGATTTCAACATCCGAATTTGGGGGAAAATAAAAAAAAATGAAAATTCAGATACTGATGACAAAAGAATAGAGATTTTGGAAACTGATTTTAGAATGCACTTGAAAATGTTAAGTTGATGGCCATGGTGATAGCTTTGAATATAAATTTGAAACCTTTAAAATAAAATTAATAAAAAATAGGTTAGAGTCTTTGCTTAAAAACCATATAGCTTTAGATGTGGCAAAACAGGTAATAAAAAACTTGTCTATGAAATATTAAGTTCAAATTGCAAAAGAGAGATGAAACAAAAGAGTTCCTTGATAGCTTCTTGCTCAGATAACTGTTCCGCAAATTTGAAATGAATAATTTTTGATATGCTAATGTCTTAAAATGCACACAGTAGTATCAATTAAAACTGAATGCAATACCTCGGTCACTTCATTATAAAATGTATGTTTCTTAAAACACATTCAATTAATGTGGAACATGAGAGTGTTTAGCTAAACAATAGGTTGCAATGTAGCTAAGATTATGGTGAAAAAACAGATAATGAAGAGAATGCTCTACTAGAATTACAGTAACATTTCAGTATGTACACTAACATGCATATCACTTCCACTGATAATTATTTCAAAGATGGATAGTCTTGGTTTATACCTTAGAAAATAAGAAGTTAGGATAGAAAAATAAAAAACACAAAATAAACAGTATTACTATACCTCGTTTTTGTTATGGAAGGGCTTGTTCCAGAAGGACAGGTTAGTTTAAGCTAATGAAAATCTAGTTCCCTGTTGAGGGCTCCGCTAAACAAGTTTATTACTTGTTACCTTTTCTTTTTGAGACTGGGTCTCCCTCTGTCACCTGGGCTAGAATGTAGTGTCGTCATAGCTCACTGCAATCTCAAACTCCGGGGCTCAAGAGATCCTCCTGCCTCAGCTCCCCTGCCACCCCTACCCCCAAGTAGCTGTGACTATAGGTGACAACTGGCTAATTTTTCTGTTTTTGCAGAGACAGGGTCTTGCTCTTGCTCAGGCTAGTCTCAAATTCCTGGCCTCAAGCAGTCCTCCCGCCTTAGCCTCCCAAAGTGCTAGGATTACTTGTTACCTTAACAGTAACATTTATTAGGAAAATTATTATCTTTTAAGTGGTTATCTTTGAATCTCAACTCATTTCTTATTTCGTTTCTCTTCCTGTGACAACTATTTACTTTCCTTATATAATAAGAACTGACAGAGAATTCCCAGATGGAGTTCTTGTGGCGTACAGGAGGAAATTGTTGGGAGCCAGTTTCAAGTGTGACATACATGTCTACATTTTTAGTAAAAACGAGTAGCTCTTCTGGTATCCAGAAATAACTTCAACAAAAGCACGTTAGATAACAATAACACATTAGTTCAGGCCTGAGCTTTCTTACAGAGACTGCCGCTACACATGACAGGGTCATTATAGCCAATTGAAAGGGCCCTAAAGAAATTCCTCTCCTGTTTTGTGAAGGTGAGTTTAAGAAATCCTGACCTAACCCCGATAAATCCTCCCAAATCTGTTTTAATTCTAGAGTGAGGTTGCTGAATATTATCCTAAAATGCCCAAGGTTTTGAGGTTTTCAGTAAATCTGGTTGTTCTGACTTCTATACCCCTTATGTGACAAAATTCTGTCCTGTCTCTCTTTTGCTTTCTTTTTCTTAACATCCCTCTTCTTTCCTGTCTTTCTAATTCTACCTGCCAAAAGAAAAGACATTTTAGCTATCTATTCAGATCAGCTGTACAATGCTACAAGCTCATTTGATCTCCACCATACTGGGATTTCATGGAACTTTCCCTAATTGTCAATATAGTGCTGTTGGTCACATTTTACTTTTGCATGTTGTACAAAAGAGCAGCCATGTTTAATATTGTGAAATATGGTCTGTCTCCTCCTCTCCCCACCTTCTAAAGCAGTGATAAATTTCAGAGCATGCTCAGCAGAACTGGATTATATTATGCACAGTACACATGTTCATCACCAAAACTGTGCTCCCCAAAATGTATGCAAGTAGAATGAATTGCTGAGACTTCAAAATCCCAGTTCCTCAGAACTGATTTTATTAGCCAATGCATACCAAACATGGGTGGTAAGAGAGTATTATTTTTGCAGTTTTCCTTCATAATTGAAGCCCTATGCTATTACAGACTGTGGTTTTCCAGTCTTTTGATTAAGCTTTGCCGGCCGTGTGCCGCTGCAGTACCAAAGAAACTGCTTTGCAGCCTGTCACCTCTTCTGGCAGGCAGCCATCCTGGTCTCGGAGAGTAGGGTCAGCGCCAGACTGCAGCAGCAGCTCCACGATATCCAAAAACTCACAGGCAGCGGCTGAAAGGAAAATCAACAAATACAACAAGTTTACCATGAGACAGAGACACTATTCCACTTCTGTATTCCTTAGTGCTCAGCGCTTTCCTGTTGAACAATGAGCAATAGTACAGCGGCTAAAAAGGATGATCGGGCCTTATAATGAGACCTGTGGCATTACACGGGATTTCTTTCTCTTTTTTTTTTTGGAGACAGGTCTTGCACTGCTGTCCTGGCTAGAGTGCAGTGACATCATCATAGCTCACTCCACCTCAAACTCCTGGGTTCAAGCGATCCTCCTGCCTTAGCCTCCCGAGTAGCTAGGACTAGAGACATGCGCCACCATGCCTGGCTAATTTTTCTATTTTTTGTAGGTACAGGGTCTTGTTCTTTCTTGCTCAGGTTGGCCTCAAACTCCTGGCCTCAAGCAATCCTCCTGTCTTGGCCTCCCAAAGTGCTAGGATTATAGGTGTGAGCCACTGCACCTGGCCTGGATTTTCAAGTCTTAGGAAAATAAAATTTACCTTCTTGGTTGCCTAGAAATATAAAAATATATATAGATTTTAAATTGCAAGGCTTTTGACTGTATTCTTTAAGGAGAGGATGGAAAGAAAGAATAAAAAATATAGTGTTTAAGTATCTATTTTACTTCAATTATTATTTCAGAATAATAAATAGGTGTACAGGCTATGTTGAATTATAAATATTATAAATGTCAAAGAAAATATTTTGTTTTCCTTTGAACTGGGGCGGGGAGGTAAGAAGGTAACTAACTGAATGTTACAATTTGTAAACAGCAAAAAAATAAAGCTGGCACAGTAGTCAGATCATCCCTCTACAAGATCTTTTTTAAAAAAAATAATAAATAGCACCAATGGGTGTCACTGATATGTCCAAGATATAGGAAGAGGTAAAAAGGACGTATGATATCAAGATTTATTATAAAGATGGTACGGTATTGCCCCAAGATGGACAAACAGACCAAAGAGTGAGTACAGAGAGCTATCTATTCTTTTGCACATATAAGAAAATTTGATTTATGACAAAGCTGGCATCACAGATCCGCGAGGAAACAAAGATCCATTGATTAGACGGTGCCGAGACAACTGGGCTAAAGGCACAAATAGGCATTCACACGAGATGAAACATAAATGCAATAAACATGAAAAGATGAGCAAACACATTAATAATCAGGGAAATGAAAATTAAAACCAAGGGATACCGGCCGGGCGCGGTGGCTCACGCCTATAATCCTAGCACTCTGAGAGGCCGAGGCGGGTGGATCACTCCAGGTCAGGAGTTCGAGACCAGCCTGAGCAAGAGCGAGACCCTGTCTTTACTAAAAAAAAAATAGACAGAAATGATCTGGACAACTAAAAATATATATAGAGAGAAAAAAATTAGCCGGACATGGTGGCACATGCCTGTAGTCCCAGCTACTCAGGAGGCTGAGGCAGAAGGATTGCTTGAGCTCAGGAGTTTGAGGTTGCTGTGAGCTAGCCTGACATCACGGCACTCACTCTAGCGCGGGCAACAAAGCGAGACTCTGTCTCAAAAAAAAAAACCAACGGATACCATTTCGTACCTATTAGATTGGTGAAAATTAAAAACTTCTACAATGCCAAGCATTGAGCAGGACTGGAGTAAGGGAAGCTCCCTTTAGACTTCTGAGAGTGTACACTGGTGGTGTTAGTTACTTCAGACAACAATTTGGCATTACAGGTTAACCAAAACATACAGATATCCTCCAACCCTGCAATTCTATTTCTAGTTATATATTCTATAGAAGCTTCTGCATGTGTTCTCCAGGAGAGATATTTGCAAGACTGTATACAGAAGCACTGTTCATAATAGATCCTAAATGTAAATAACTCAAATGCTCATTAATAGTAACATGTCAAAATAAAATATCATTCACTTGTATGATGAAATTTCATATAACACTGAAAACTAATAAACTATAGCTTCACACACGGGTTTATCTCCAAAACATAATGTTGAAGGAAAAAAAAAAATAAGTGAGAAGAATACATATGGTATATGAAACTAAACACTATTGTTCAGACATACATGTAGTAAACATACATGTATGTTCAGACATACATGTAGTAAAACTATAAAGGAAATCATTAATGCAAAATTTGGGATAGTGGTGATCTCTGGGGGGTGCTGGGGAGGGCCACGTGACTGTAGATGCACACATGTGGGGCTTCAAAGATATTGGTGATGCCTTATTTCTTAAGCTAGGTAGTGGGTACATTTTTTAAGACTATAATTTAAATTCTTCATATACATTTTATATAGGCTTCTGTAGTGTGATTATTATACAACAACAAAATGTTCTTTTAAAAAAAGAGAAAGGAAGGGTGTGGAGGTTGATCCCATGGCTATTTTACTGAACACATAGGGCACCAGTCCTGCCAAGAATACAAGTAAGATTCTTGTTCTCGAGAATTTATTATAAATACGTAAATGACCAACTCGAACACAAAAGAGTAAGTACTACGGCAGAGACACACGTACTGCAAAGGCTGGGGGAAAGAGGAAACTGAGGAATCAGGAAACTGAACCCCACAAATAGGTGGTAAATAAGCTGAGCTTTGAAGGACAGAGCAAAATCTTTGAGAAGGAAGGACGCTGGCGAGCGCAAAAATGCTATGAACAGAGGCGTGAGGGCACAGAGATGCCGATAGAATTGTCTGCTGGCTCAGGGAAGCTATGCAGAAAGCTGAAAGTAGAGAGGCTGGATTGAAGTCAAATTATGTAGGGCCTTGAAAGCCATATCAAGAAGTCTGGGTTTTATCAAGTGATTCAGAGGCATTTATGAGGAGGGTAGTGGCATAATTTGGGCTCTGTGCTAGGATGGTTAATTCTATAAAGTGTGATTGAGGGAGCCAAAAAATTTGTGGCAGGTAGACCAATTGGGAGACTGCAGTAATCCTTTAGGGGGCTTGAAATTAGCCAGTGTCTCTGCAGGAATTTAAAGAAGGATGTGAATAAGAGAGCCGCTGAAATTCAAGCAAATATTTCGTAGCAAAGTACTGGATGTGATATAAGGAGTGAGGGACTTAAAAGAATCAAAGACGACACCTATGTTTCCAGTCTGGGAGACCACATACATGCTGGTGACATTACCTCTAAAGTAAGGAATCAGAGAAGGAAGAGCAGGCGTTTTTGAAGGGGAACAGAAGCAGAAAATTATGGAGGGGGAGAAATAGCCTTGGTTCGGGACACAATGAATAAGTGGTGCTAGGAGACATCCATGTTGATAAATTCAGCAGGGAGGTGAAATCTGAATCTGAAAAACAACCCCGAATCATGCCATATATTAGGTTATTAAGTATGGAATATTCGATTTCCTTAAGTACTAAGTTTGACAGTTGATATCTCTGACATTTCACTTTGACACTTTTTTTATTGTGAAGGTACATCCTCATTGTTTCACATGCATGTTTTGGCTTATGATTATGTTTCAAATTTTTTTAGAGCAATTTTTATGAAACTATGGATAAGTAAAAAATTTGTGTTAGTTTTGAACACGAGTTCTGTTGTGGAACTAATGCAGCGCAGACAGCTCAAAATATCAACAAAGTGTTTGGGAAGGATGTGGCTAATGAACACACAGTAAGTCGATGGTTTGAGAAGTTCCATTCTGGTGATTTTAATCTTGAAAATGAGCCACATGGGTGACCTGAGACCAACGTGGATAATGATGAGCTGAAAGCTGTAGTAGAAGCGAATCTATCTCAACCTATGCATGAATTAGCAGCAAGGTTTGACATTACTATTCTGACAATATTGGACCATTTGAAACAAATGGGCAAGGTAAAGAAGCTGGATAGATGGGTTCCACATGAATTAAACAAGCATCAGAAGAGAAATCATCCTGAAGCTTGCCTTTCTTCGCTGTCACGACATAAAGGCGAACCATTTCTACATCATATTATCACGTGTGATGAAAAATAGATTCTTTTTGACAACTGCAAGCATTCAGCACAGTGGCTGGGTAAAGACGAAGTGTCAAAACACAGACCAAAACCAAATATTTACCAAAAAAGCTAATGGTGTCTGTTTGGTGGTCCAGCGCTGCTATTATATTATCTACCTCAGCTTCATGAAACCTGGTCAATTGATTACAGTGGATATCTACTGCAACCAATTAGACGAAATGATGAGGATGCTTGCAGTTAAGCAGCCAAGATTGGTCAATAGAGGTAGGCCAATCCTCTTGCAAGACTACACGTTGCAAAAAACAATGCTGCTCAAACTACAGAAATTGGACTTGGAAACTCTCTGTCATTCACTGTATTCACCAGACCTTGTAACAACTGACTTCCCC